AGGTGGACTCGACCTAGTTTGAGTAATTAATTGCCAGTTTAAAAAGTAAAATGCAAATGAAAAGTCCTCGTGAGGAAAATACAGAGAAGCCAGTTTACTCTCAACCAAACAATTGGCACTTATTCTATGTAACGTTAAACAGACATCCATTTTCAGAGTAAATTATTTCTCAACCGATCAAGTCCGATTGTTCCAACCCAGCGGTTACCATAAATAATAGACACAACAACTTTATTCAGATAAAACGAAGGTCTAAATATATTCTTACACGCATAGGCTACACTAGATGTTAATATTGCTTTTGAATTAGTGTACCAAAATGAGTCCACATTTACTTTACATTACTACAAGCTCCCTATCTGACCATACCATCGATTTTTCATCGCATTTAAACAACGATAATTAGCTAAACTACTCACATTAAAATAATAATAATAATAATAATGTCTACTTTATGAATAGTTTTTAAATGTAAGGACTTCCCCGGTTGTCACCGGATTTTTTTTTTCTTTTAATTTTTTTGGTTTAGGCTACTCAGATTTTACTGGGTACTTTGAAGGTCCAATGGGAAACGTGTTTGTGAAGATTATTATTTGTACAAGTCATCGTACAATCTGAAGGAATCTGAAGCATCTGGACTTGGTTTATCATAGATGAAGACTTCCGTCTTCTGAAAGTCATGAACTTGAACGCGATGGATATTTATCACGTTACTCGCGCGCCATCTTGTGGCCAGCTTGTGTAATGGCCGCCAATGGTTGAGCTCACACACACACATGCACACACACACACGTTAAAATTATATAATAAATGTAGTGTGCATACAAGTGTTCACATATTTTTGTTACTATGCACATTTTAATTTTTGTAAAAAAAATGTGCACACCTATAAAATATAAAATTTAATAATTATTTTGTCTTTTTTTTAAATATATATTCTAATATTGAAAATGTGGCAAAACATGTTTTTGCAATGCCAGAGATGTGTTTGTGCATGCGTGCATGTGTGTATGCGTGAGAATCTCTGTGTGCTCGCGTGTTTTTGTGTTCTGTGAGAATTTTAATGTGTGATTATGTTGAATTCTAATCAAAGTCTGTGCAGAATGAGCCTACTTTCTCTCAAACTGTTTGGACATCTGTCATGGCCTCTAGACATGCCCAGAGTGAGCGTGTGTTTGTGTGGCTCTGGCACTTTCTCTGTGGCAGCAGGGCTGCTGAAACATTCATCACAGATTATTTTCACTCTTCCATACGTCAGGCAGCATCTTAATGGCCAATGAAACAGATCTGAGAAACTGGCATGAAACTGGGTCATGATCAGTGAGCTCAGTTAGTCTCAAACAAAAATGTCCCACAGTACACATTTAGTTGATTTCAATCATTCTGGAAAATATTAGGACATGTAGCAAAATGTTTACAATACAAATCATACTTAATCACAAGTAAACTGTGTGTTTCTAGTGACCTAGTGACCTCTTGTGCAGGAAGGGGGAATTGTTACGCTCTACATGAACAGAAACACTGGATCTCTGGCTGCAACTGTCTGCAAGTTCAATTGTATGTGCTTGTGTTGAATTTCTTAACTAATATTTATAGCACTGAAATGAATAACATTAAATGGAATAAAATCATTTAAATTATTAATAATTTAATTCTTTAATAATTATTCTGTCTGCCTTCGTTTTTATGTTTACATTTTATTTGATTATTAATGACAATTAATTACTGTATAGAGAGAGAAAGAGAGACAGAGAGATGGACGGATGGATGGATGATTTTTAGATAAGCTTTTTCTGTTGCCTAATGTCAGTCTTTGGACAATTTGTGTATTTTTGCACAGTTTTAAACGCAATTTTGTGTAACTAAATTATTGATAAACCTGCGTTTTAAACTATGTGTCAGCTCTCATTCCCAAATACATCTTCAAAATAAGTTTTAAAAATATCCTTCATTTGCTTTAAGGTAAATTCGTGTTTGTTTGTTTGTTTTCATTTTGATTCAGGTCACTGCAGTGCTGATAAAACTTAGTTCTCAGTACCGCCTTAAGAACAAGGTTTGTTCACTGTGATAATTGATTTTTCATTTTAATTTTATTTAACTGTGAGAAGTGTTTGCCTCTGTTCTGATTTGCAGTTAATAATTCCTTTAAGAGTTTGTTTCTATGGAACTTTCTTTACAGCTTCTCTGAGACAGCAGCAGTAACCAAGGGGCGGGGCTTAGCGAAGGGTCAGGTACAGACAGGTGTGTTAGACTAGAGCAGGGCTGCGGCTAAACTCTGCAGGAGCTGGATTGAGCACCGCGGTTCTTGAGGATGTCAGAAACTGTGAGTATCACGGTAACGTGAAGTTAAGTAGCCTACTGTTTGACCTCGTCTGAAAACAAGCTGCAACGTTTTGTTATACTATTTTAGTCAACCTGAAACGAGCTTGTTGTTCTCTTTTTAGTGTTTAAGTGTATGTTTGACTGACCAGCAGGGGGCGCACTGGACCGCCTCTCATCACGGCATCGCTCGGGTTGTGGACTGTCTGACTTCGTTTTCTTGCAAGTGACTTTGAGGTAATGTCTGCTTACAGCAATGACAGATTTGTAGCGAACAAAACCCTCTCGTGAATAAACAGTTCCACCTATCATCGCCTTCTCCAGCTATTTAATGACTTTGCAAGAATGACTTTTAAAATTATATAGCAAAGCTATTGATTATTTTACGTTATGTGGTTTTGATTTAATACTTTTATTCTGTTTCCTTTAAATTCCGTGCTCACACGTTGACTCTGTCGTGTAAAATGGCAGACCGCTTTTGTTAAGCGTTCACTTCATCTGCAGTTGATGATGGAGCTGGGGTCTCAGCGAAGCCCCCCGCAGCAGCTTTACATACAGCTCAAAGTCAACACACTTAACATCAGACATTCACTGTATCAACGCCGTTACAGCACACACGCAGACAAACACCGTAAAGGGGAATCGGGAATGTTTCTATGAGCTTTACGTTTTCGGTGAGAGAGAGAGAGAGAGCGAGAGAGAGAGAGAGAGAGAGAGAGAGAGAGAGAGTTGAGATCTTCACTCTTCACATGAATGCACTCGTTACGCAGGGATCAGCGCGCGAACATGCTGTGGAAACTGGTGGAAAATGTCAAGTATGAAGATATATACGAGGTAACGAGAAGACAAACTGCATCCACATCTGTTTTTTTTCACTGTATGATTTATATAGGCTAACGACAAAAAATTACGTTGCATTTGGTCGTGTTACATTTTTTCTAATAGGCTATGTTTTGTCTCTTGTTGACAGGAGGTTTATTCTGGTTATATAAATAAGGGAAAAAATCAAATGATAAACGTTTGATTTAGAAGAATTTTGTCATAGGCCTACTCATTCATTTTCTACCCAATTGCTTGTGTTATTTTTGTATTAACAATGTAGTGATTTTAGCAGGTTACTTTATTTCCTTTAAAAGTAGGAAATTTAGGAAAAAACTAATTTTTCCTTTGTTTACAGAAGAGCTTTTAATATTATAACTTTACAAATTCTGGAATTTGTAAAAGAAAAAAAAATCTGTAATTGCTTTGTCAAAAAAAGAGGCACGTTTAAATTCTCTATTTTTACACTTTAATATTGTTTGTATTTATGTAAGGTGATGTTTAAAAAAACTGTCTAAAAAGAGTTAGCATAAAAAAACAGATGGGGGGGGAAAAAAAAGAAAATGTCAATGTTTATATGCACTGAAAAACTTCTCGCATTATTTTCTTGAGAGCCTGCCATCGATTTATTAATAAGAGAATCGCAGAATCTACCGAAGGAGAGGACGCAGTGTCACGCGTGGGAGTCCCGTGGATTCCCCTGAATGGGCTCGAGCTCGTGGGAGAGACTCGTGGTGGTTTTTGGAAAAGCCTCGCGGGATGCCGACCCGGAGAGTCACACATGGCTTTTCTCTCACAGTCAACCGTCACGCGTGTAATTAAACACTTCGACCCCAGTCCGTGAAATCGACCATTATACGAGCTGTTTAATGGGGCACCATTAGTGGAGGACTTTAAACTGTCACCCGGTGCAGAAACAAACAAGCAAAACTTTTAAAACTTCATCTTTTTTTCAGACACTCATTAGGGAAGGTTTAAACCGCGATGAGTGTTTTATCATATTAGTGTAATATTGTTATCGTGAAGTTCATGTTTTTGTTGACCAGAGACCTGGGCCTGGCTTTTCTCTCACAGTCAACCGTCACGCGTGTAATTAAACACTTCGACCCCAGTCCGTGAAATCGACCATTATACGAGCTGTTTAATGGGGCACCATTAGTGGAGGACTTTAAACTGTCACCCGGTGCAGAAACAAACAAGCAAAACTTTTAAAACTTCATCTTTTTTCAGACACTCATTAGGGAAGGTTTAAACCGCGATGAGTGTTTTATCATATTAGTGTAATATTGTTATCGTGAAGTTCATGTTTTTGTTGACCAGAGACCTGGGCCTGATTAAACACACATGCATGTGAAACTATGGTGAGTTTGGAATAGGAAGGGCGAAGGGCATAGTTGTGGTACATAAGCTCCAAATAACGCTTTTTATCAGATATATAGGCTGTTATTTATTTAGCCTAAATGAAGTAACATTAGTAGCCTACCCTATATGGTGGAATCCAATTTTGCTATTGTGAGTTTGAATTGCTATGGTGAGTGTGATGTATTTAATGCATATGAAAGTATGTGAGTATATAGTGCTTGTGAATGAGGCCTCTGTCCATCTGCCTCAAAGCAGCTGATTCCGGCGATTCGTTTGTTCTGGCTGGAGATAAATGGACTGTGCACACACAACAATAACATAAAAGGCAACAATAGCAAAAGAAAGAAGTCCGGACCCGTGCATGCCGGACCTCAAACAGAGAGGGGTACAACAGAGCACGAGAGTTTCCTCCTCCTGAATGAACGTCACTTACAGCAGCAGCGCCTTCACGCTCCGCTGCTCCCCGCTGCTTTAAGTATGCCCGCAATATTAGAGGAGTCATGAATAACAATTATTCTGAGGAGGAGGTGTAGCGAGGCGAACGGACGGAGCACCGCACTCTGGATCAGAGCGCCGGATCGGGAAGAACAGAACCGAGACCTGGAGGAACAAGTCTGTGTAGGAGAAGCCATTTGAGCTGAAGTGGAAAAAAATCCAGTTTTTGCTCCGTGCGGTCATGAGGAGTTGAGAAAGGAACGCGTTTTTCTTCAGGCGAGCGTGTGTCGCGTTGTCGCGTTGTCGCGTGTCCTTCTGCTCTGAACGAGCTCGCGTTTTTTCGTCCAGATGTTAGTGCACACCTATTCCTCCACGGTGAGTCTGAGAACAGCGAGAAGAATACTTTCTTGTAGCTGCGTGGTAAAAAGGTGGCATGCGTGTTTTGCTTATGTTGCGAGCTTACCCTTACGAAAATCAACCATGGTTTTATTGTGGTTAAAGTGTAGTAACCATCGTTTTTTTGGCGTATTGATTACCATTTGTATAGCTAAAAACCGTTTTAATACAAATACTATGGTTAAACTATGGTTAGTGTAGCAAAACCATGGTTACCATTGTTTAATTATAGTAAACCATCGTTTTTGGCTTTATTTGTGGTAAAACCATGGTTAATTTTCGTAAGGGTAGTAATTTAAAACCTGCGTTTATGTCTCGTTTTAAAAATGTTTTGTTAAGTTACTACACATGAATCAGTCCGAAAATGCAAATATTTTGAAAGCTTTTGTACTTTATTGAATCACAGCGGGCGCAGATATATGCTATAGTCTATAAGCTTCTATTTAATACTCTTTCGATGTCGTTGGATTCGTTCCAGTAGCCATTCAAAACATCCAGAAAGATCATTTATTTTTAAAAATGAGAATATTAAAACAAATGGTTGGTTTGTAATCGTATTTATATTCTTTTCTCGTTTGAAGGACCGCCATGATGGGGTACCGAGCCACAGTTCCAGACTGTCCCAGCTGGGTTCGGTCTCTCAGGGTCCGTACTCCAGCGCTCCGCCGCTCTCTCACACACCTTCCTCGGACTTCCAACCTCCGTACTTTCCGCCGCCGTACCAGCCGCTGCCGTATCACCAGAGTCAGGACCCGTACTCACACGTCAGTGACCCGTACTCTCTGAACGCTCTTCACCAGCAACAGCAGCACCCGTGGGGCTCCCGGCAGCGGCAGGACGTGGGCACGGAGAGCGGAGCTTTACTGCCGCAGCCTCGAGCCTCTTTACCGCAGCTCTCGGGTCTGGACCCCCGGCGGGACTACACCGTGCGCCGACCAGACGTGCTGCTCCACTCCACGCATCACGGGCTCGAGGTGGGGATGGGAGATGGTCTGTCCCTTCATGGCCTGGCGCACGGCATGGAGGATTTGCAGGTTGGTTATGATTTTTCTTTCTTGGTTTGGACAATAACCTCTTTTGTCGGGATGGAAATTGCACAAAGACGTGTAGTAAATCATTAAGAATGTTAACATTTTAAAAAATGCTGGTTTGTTTCAACCCAACTTTTGGGTTATACATTTAATGTAAAAATGTAACCCAACATCTGGGTTAGTCCATATTTGACCCAACATTGGGGTAAAACGACCCAGCATTTTTTTTAGTGTAATAGTGAACTAACGTTTAACGATTTGATTTAGGTTATTTTTATCTTGTATTCTAAATAATTGCAGTAGCTCTCTTTGACATAATTCTGTATATTTTCAGGGTGTTTTCTGACCTGTTGACATTTTTTGAGACAAGTTACAAACATTTTTATCAAATTAATATTTATCAAATAACGGAATCCAAACTAAGTAGCCTATATTTAGTAGGCTAATAGTAGTAGAGCTTGCTTGTTATCTGTCGTGGTTGTAATCACATTTTGGTTTTTGAAACTATATTTGTACGTTATAAATAATATTTAAAAGCAATAACGTTAGGCTTCTGTTGAGGAAAACTAGCCTACTGTTTAACTTAAAATTATTGTTGCAATGGCTAAAAATGAAAACTTCACCCACCTTAAATCTGTTAAGCCATGCTCGGTTCACATTTCTAACCATCTGTTTTTTATTAATATATCTCTGCACACATCATATCTAATTTTCGTCAGTTGACAAGTTTATGCGTTCAGCTGACTGGACAATGACTGTCTGCCTCTCCACCCAAAATGATTATAAAACGTAGCCTAACTGACATCGGGTTTATTTTCATTTTTCAATAAAAAATAAATACATTTTGTTAAAAAAATTTTTATTTTTATTTAATTAAATTCAGATTAGTTTACGTTTCCTGACTAGAAAATACCATTAAAAATGCATTCAGAAAACTTACATGGAACATTTTATTTTTGGACGAATTGTTAGTGAAAACAATGGTATGCGTCCTAAACTTAATTAAAAATATTTTTTTCAATTGCTAATGTTCACTATTTGGATCCAAAAATGTTTTAATAATAATAACCCTGGACTGGAAATTTGTTTTATTTATTTATTGATCGATTGATTTATTTTTGTCTAAATCTGTCTAAATTTACTAAACAGAAGGTCATTGTTCTGAAGTTATCTGAACTTGTATAATTGCTGTAGCGATGTAAATGTTTACTCATTATGCTGCCTTTTTAGGCTATGGAGGACGCAAACAACGGGATGAACATCCTGGATCAGTCAGTCATTAAAAAAGGTACGTTAGAAAATGGCTGGAAGAATTATGCCATTGTTGTATTTAATTATTTGGTCATTTCATATTTTTCAACGTTCACTGGGTTTTGGTTAAAAAATGCTGATAGAAGGAATTACTGTTCTATGGATTTAGGGCAAAGAGTCATTTCAGGTGAATACACCTTGGCACACCTTTTCACGCATGCGCTGAAACACATCTGCTATTTAAATGATGTCACCTGCCTATTTTCTTAACCTTGGACGTCCAGCCAAAGCAAGTGGAATTGGAAGCCATTGAATATTTTTAGAATCATATCGTCACCGTTATAATCGAACTGTTATTTGTGTCACTACAAAGAATTTATAGCTTTATTTATTAGTAGCTAATAATCGACCAATCTATCGTCTGTTATAGACTTAGGTTATTATCAGCTGCCTCTTGTCTTTTATGCATTAAAACAGTAGCGCAAATTCCAGATTTATTCATGCCTATCTATTTTCTTTGGGAACATGACTGTTTAAAATCGACATTTAAGCACCACTTTGTTTTGACATATTTACTCCGAGATAAGGCCTCCATGCAGTCAGTAAGAGCTCCAGCAAAACTCCCTGGGCTCGTGTTAATATTTGTCCGTTATGAGGGACGTTTGCCGGTAATTTAGTTAACGGAACACAGGCCTCCCAGAAGAGACGGCCTGTAAGTGGCCGCTGTGATGGATGGTTTTCTGAGCGCGGATCTCGTGAGCTCGTTTAGAGCACGTTTTCTCTATTATCCCCTGTAGAGTTCTCCGCGGGCTCGAGCGCTCGTTACCCCATTAGCGCTTAAGTTAGTAGACGTCGTTTGACGGTCAGCTTGTGGGTTGTGTGTGGAGGGGAGGGGGTGATTTGAAAAATAGGTGGTTAATGTTATTAGCACGTGTGCAAGGCCAATCGATAATATAATAAATGAGCGTAGTAAATAGTGTTGAAATGTCACTGTGGAAACAAAAGCTGATAGGAAAGTGTAACTGAATTGAATAAACGAAAGGACTAAATCTCAGTGCCTGGCAGCATTTCTAAGTGTAATGCTAGCATTTTAATCTTGTTGGAAACTGCAAAACATTACAGCACAAATTGAACCATGCATATGCCTTTATTTTTTTTAACGCCGTTGTTGTTATATATAAAGTTGGTAACATGTTTAGATAAAATAGCCTAATACATTTTATTTAAAAATACTACAGGCTTTCCGCTATGTTTGCATTTATGGACTATTCTGGCTTTCTTTCTATTAAGAAGCTGGAGCACGCGCTGGCAGCTCCGGGCAGCTCTCGAGCTCACGGTGCTTTTATGTGCCAAGATTTCACATTGCATAATATTCCCACAAGCCTGGGCTGTCTGTAACTAGTCTTAGACATTATCTTAAAATAATAACACCTCTCGCTATAGAGTCATTTTGAGAAGTGTGTAACCACAGCTAGTGTTCATATTTCAGTAGGCTAAATGTGAGACTAGGTCTCTATTACACGACGTAGCTCAGTTTTCTGTCTGTTTCTCTCGCACAGTTCCAGTTCCACACAAGAGCGTCGCTTCTCTGATGATGAACAAAGACGGTCTAATCGGCGGGATCACCGTGAACGTCAACGAGGTCTTCTGCTCGGTTCCCGGCCGCCTGTCGCTTCTTAGCTCCACATCCAAATATAAAGTGACGGTCGGCGAGGTCCACCGGCGCCTCTCTCCGCCGGAGTGCCTCAACGCCTCGCTGCTTGGCGGGGTTCTACGGAGGTGAGAGCATCGATAAATCAGCCAGAATCCACATTATTAGCTGAGCAGAGGTCAATGGATTAAAGACAAAAACTTATATTCAATTTGAACGCCAAACATCTGGGTCATGACCACATCTGCAGTGACTGACGAGACGTTGAACAGGCTACGTTGGACGCTGAACAACATTTATTTTTTTGTTTTTGAGAGATTTTTAAATGGCTCCTGCCTAAACATGTCTGATTTAGAATGTTCACTTTTCATGGTGCTTCTTTGCTGTCAGTCCGTCATAAAACACGTCTCTAATTATGTCCTCAGAGCGAAGTCGAAAAACGGCGGAAGATCACTGAGGGAAAAGCTGGAGAAAATCGGCTTGAATTTGCCCGCGGGGAGACGCAAAGCAGCGAATGTCACTTTACTGACGTCTCTAGTAGAAGGTAAAGCAGGACATCTGATTCTTATTTCTCATTTAGATGATCTTTTCCACCGTGTTTGGGAATTCAGGCCCTTCAAATGAAGAAAACAATGGCCAATAATGGAAAACAAGCCCGAATTTTTAGGCTAGATGATATTTTATTGCCTTGGGAGTTTCTCTAATCTGATTTATTTTCCTTAGGCGGTGCAAACAGTTAACAGATGCAGAAGCAGTAAAACGACATTTTAACCAGTACAGCTAATTTCATATAATTATTGTTGTGACTGTCTGATTGTTTCTGCACAGCAATCTTTCATTCGCTTAATAGGCTGTCTTTCCCTCCAGTTCAGTTGCAGCTACAGCTGTAATTTAGTATAAAAATATTTTAAGCGAGTAATTCCATTTCACCATATTGTGTTTATTTTTCATTTCCAGGAGAAGCTGTTCATTTGGCTCGGGACTTTGGCTACATTTGTGAAACTGAATTTCCCACAAAGGCCGTGTCTGAATATCTGAACAGACAGCACACGGATCCAAACGAACTGCACTCACGAAAGAACATGCTGCTCGCCACAAAGTACGTAGACTGCATAACGTCTCACTGCATTGTTTAACTGTGATCTATGCATTCGTTGCTTTCTTTGGAAGCTGGTATAACCGCCCTCATCTGAACAAATGTGTAGCCACATTTCGAGGTGAATGTAGAATCCATCATGGAGTGTCGTTTTGAGAGCTGTCCGCTTAGTGCCTGGTGCGTTTTGACACGTTTAGCTGGTTCCTAATGAGTAAGTTCAGGTCCAGCAGAAACACGCGTCTCTTATCCATCTCAGCCTGGCACCGAGCTAGAAACTCATTATATTTAAGTGAAATGTTTCAAGTCTTAAAGTGCCAGCTTTCCCCTTGAAGTTTTGCCTAAGGTCATCCCTCCTCCCTCGCCTCTCCTTTCACAGTCTGTCTGTCAAAGTCCCGTCAGTCAGCCTTGGGCACTCACGTTCTGTCGCTCTGGAATGGGAGAGAGGGGTGCTGCACTTTCCCGACTGGACAACAAGACTGTTTGTGGTTCTGAGACGCGAAAGCGAATGTGGGTCAAAATCTGACAAGTCCAGACAACTGCAGATGCCGCAGCAGGGCTCTGCAACGCTGCCAGTTGGAGGCATTTGAACTGTTTGTCACAAATGACCTTTTAAAGACTGAAGTGTGATCGTTTGCTCAGATTCTTATTTGAGATTAACATTGCACCTCAAAGCATTGTTATTATGAACACGACACAAGTAGTTTTGGATGCATGCTCTTAAAAAGACAAGAATTTAATACTGTATAAATTAGGCCAACATTTTTTTTTTCTTCATTTGGAAAATGAATTGCTTTTAAATTAACCTTACAAGTTTCAGATATCATAATTATATGAATTACATTTGCTGATCATATAATTATTGGATGTTTAGTGGTCAAGCAGGCAGTTTCAGAGAAGCATGGAGGTCAAATGTTGAGAGGACATTAGTATTAGGCTAAAATATCTGCCTGTATTTTTCTGTATGATTCCCCAAAGCAAGAAAAGCATGAATATTGAGAGCAATGCCTCTTTCAGGAAGTGAAATATGCTGAGAATGGAATATTCCCCAGTAATGACAGATAAAGGCACTCTTCCAGTGAAAGTTAAACTGATGGCTTTATTCTAATTGATGGGCTTTCCTCTCAGAAGCAGAAATATGCAGGCTTTACTCTGAGGATTTCAACTTCAAGTTCTCTTTTTTCTTCATATGTATGGACAGTGAACACTGGAGAGTTTCATTATAGCCTTTTTTTAAAATATATATTTATTTTTGCTCGCAGTGTGATTGGGGGATAAGAAACATGCCTTTTACCCATGATTCTCAGGAACACCACAAAGCGACTGAACTATTGCAAGCTTGAACCTGTCAGAGCACCTGTTATCTGTGTTTTCTATTACTCAAAATAATTATGAGCATCAAGCAATCACATCACCATTATGTGAGATATTGAGATCGACAAACATGGGTTTGATATGAACTAAGGATTTTGTAATATTTTGTAATTGTTTTACTGTTTGATCTCTGTGAGCCTAACATATCCAAAGTTTTTATTTAATATTTTTTTCATTTGATCAATTTCATCATAAATGTCCAAATGCTGAAGTCACAGTGTTTGTAATTTATGGATGAGGGTTTTCAGAGTTGCTATGCAGTGGCTTTGATATTATGTATGAGTTCTCCTTTATAATCAATATTTCACACTCAGTTAAAAGAATATGTAGATTTATATATAAAGAAATAAGTAGGAATATCCATGGCAGTAAAATGACAGTTCTTTTCAGCTTCTTTGGGAGGCAGAAAGGCTTTTTTTAATGGAATCATGGTTGATGTATTTTCCATTTGATTGTTTAATTCAACTTATGACTTAAATTCATTTCTTGAAAAATGTATGCTGTAATCCATGAGCGAGCAAGTCGCATTTCTTTAACTGATACAGAAGATCAAGCACGTCCCTTCTGATATATGTTCTGATAAATGTGAATGAAGAATTTGTCATGCTTGATGTGCCATGAAAAAATGTCATGACATTCTCTGATTGGATCACAGTTGTGTAGATGGTAAAGGAATTGGATAGGACACAGTTAGTGGGATTGATCCTAAAACCCACCTGACTAGTGTTGCTGGAGGCAGAGCATGTCTAGACCCCACACTTTCCCATTAGCAGAATGTTGTGCATTTATTGGCATGTTAAGTCGAAGTTGTTTTCCTACAGAATAAGTACTAAAATATTGTTCCTCCATTCACCTTGTGCAAACAATCAGCTTGAGACCAGCAGCAATAAACACAACAATATCTACAAAACATACAGAAAAAATGAACAGTATATAGTACAAACAATTTTATTAGACAGCATAGATTAAATTTAGCGCAAAATTATATTGTTGAAAGGAGCATTAACATTTACATCACTATTAATTGTGAGACATAAGTCATTTTTGTTCCTGAGTGTTAGGAATATACATTTAGCTTTAAATTACCCAGCAGGCACACAACATCATAAGACGTTGATATTTGGTTAAATCTCGGTTGCAACGTCAGGTGACCAAAATTCAATGTCAGTTCAACATCTAATATCAATGTTAATTTGATGTCCAGTACCGACATCAGCTGATGTTGATATTTGTTGTTTTTAGGTTGTGTAAGCAAAATCCAATGTTATGCCGGGTTCAGACTACACAATATTTTTGTCGGTCATGACAGTCACTGTGTCAGATTTCACGATTTTGATTCCTAAAATCTCGTGTTGTGGACAAGAAACATGTCAGACTACACGTTGCTTCCCGACCATTCATCGCGTGCCGTCTTTAACGACGCGCGTGATGTCATCGAGAAGGCGGAACTAGCGACTGGCTTCCGAAAACAAGAGTGTAAACATTGCTGAAGCGCTTCCGCTATAGTTCACAGCATTTTTCTTTCTTTGTTCTGTCGTGGTAGTCCCTCGATGACACATCATACAGGCAGGAGTACTGTTGCCACAGCTCCACGAACCTTTCGTCCATCTCATAATTCCTCCTAGCAGCACCATCATCTCTCTTTCGTTTTGCCATGTTTGAAACGTGTGTATGAAAGAGCTTCTGTGCTGCTATTGGTCAACGTCACCAATGTGACAGAACTCGTCGTGGACGACGGGGAAAAAAATGAAAAATGCTAGTCTTTCTGTCGTGATGTCATGAAGCATCGCAGTCGCGGAATCGGTTGTCGTCCACTATGACACACTACACGTGCTGAAACGATGGAATCTTGCATCCCGACACCCACTGTCGTTTACGAATCCCCAAGACACCCTACATCAAGCAAATCGTGGCAAAATCGGGGTAAAATCGTGTAGTCTGAACCGGGCATTAAGTCAACGTCAAATTGGTGTCAAATACTGACGTCAACCCGGTTTTCATTCTCAACCCGACGTTAAATTGACATCCTGTGCCTGCTGGTTAACCTCTAATTCGTCATTTAAAGTCCGCATGAAATAAAATTTACAATAATTATTTTGTTAGCACACATTGCTAGTCTTAGTGTTAACAATTAATCCGTGCAAGTTAATCCACTGAAAAAAAATGTTTGTTTTGGTAATCTTTAATCAAAATCTGATAATTTGCTTCCGCTCTGGAATTGCATTCCTTCTCTGATGACGTAAGTTTGACCGCTTGGGCCATGGCTTGGGCAGAAAATCCTTAACCACACCCCTCCAATCATTAGATTTCTGTTAATAACTATTCAATATTCCGTTTCAGTTGGAAATACGTCACTACACTAAAATAAAGTTGGCAGCAACTTCCAGTTCACACGGACTTTAAAGCAACTGTATGTAGTTTTATTTTTGTGACTTTGGAGCCATATATCACTGTCGTAATTACAGTACATAGCTGTACGCACGCATTTGTTGCTGCCGTAAAGCAATCTGCGCCTTTCGTGGAATTTCGTAGCTGCTCAACAAAACTTGCCTGCTACTAGAATAAATCTTTGGGAAAGAAGAAGCCATTCGCCCCATTAAAGGTCACAGTACCATCAGAATGATTTCAAAACCGATATTTCAAAAACTTACATTTGGTTTAATATCTGTAGGCTACTCTCCAGTAAACCCCACATTCTCAGCTGTGGCTGACACTTCTGGCAAGTTTGTTGTTATTAATTAGAAATTGTGGCTTGTTTGTGATAATGGAAACTTACAAAATTCTGAGCTTCATTTGTCTTTCTTGTGTAAATATTTGTGCTACAATGAAGTGTCATGCTAGTTCATCACAGATATTGCATTCATTTTATGGTCTATGACAAAGACTCACCATCTAAAAGAGCCAATAAATAAAACATACATTAGTTTACATAATCACAGCAATTAATCAGAAATGAAGTTCTCAGTCTTATTATTCATATAAAGATTACAAGCCAAATTGTAAAACTTTTAGAGTTATCATAATCTTAAAAATAAAAGCAGTGACTCCATATAAGAACCATTTTGGTTCCCCAAAGAGCTTTTCAGTGAACAGTTATTTAAATAACCATTTTTTCTTCGTGGGTAGAGAAAAATGTTTTTGTGCAATGGAAAGGTTCCATGGGTTTGAAATGTTCTTCGTGGAACCATCAATGCCAGTAAAGAACAATTTTGTAATTTTTGGATTGATAATGGAAAGTTCTGGGTTTCAACTCTGTCTGTCTTCTCTTCTCAGGCAATTGTGTAAGGAGTTCATGGACCTGTTGGCTCAAGATCGCACTCCATTAGGAAACTCTCGGCCTTCGCCCATCCTGGAGCCAGGAATCCAGAGCTGCCTGTCACACTTTAGCTTCATCACACACGGTTTTGGTTCTCCAGCCATCTGCGCCGCCCTCACGACTTTACAGAATTACCTGACTGAAGCCCTTAAAGGCCTCGACAAGATGTTCCTCAACAACCCCACCCCCAACCGACACACACCTGCAGATGGCTCCAAAGGAACTGGAGAGAAAGAGGAAAAGCACAGGAAATGAACTGTGGAAATACGATATCAAGGAAGTCGAGTCATTGGAGATGTTCAGAGATTCTATAAACTCTAGTTTTATGACATTGCGTTTTACATTCTGGGTTGAAGGTGGTGAGTGGACAACAGATCACGGGAAGATGAAAGGAACGATACGATAAAAGAGACTGGAGGACACGAGTCTGCTGTGACACGTTCACCATCTTCATTTCATTCGTGTGCGAGTGTGAAAATATTCGAGGAGTGTTTGTGAGTGTGTTTTTGTGTATCAAAGTATGACATTTTACATGATGTTAGATGCAGGCTGTCCTTTACACACATGCTCATGAATCTAATACCTAATATTTGAGTGTTCATCAGTGTAATGGCCAGCACACAGGAGGACAGGTTTGCTTGGGATACTGGTGGAGACATTTTTAACTACTATATTTAATTATACTTATTAAAATATAGGTGCACAGTTCTGCAATGTTAAGTACATTCCACACAACTTTCGCCAAAACTACACTTACAGTAAAACAATCATCTTCTGTCCATAAAAGTGGTTAAGCAAAAAATTGCCTCCACATAGATTTGAAAGAGACAGAATATTCAAATATGAGATTTTATTGCATTTAGTAATACATGCGGTACAAAGAAATTGAGTGTTTGCCAAAAAGAGGCTGTAAATGTGCAACAAGCATCATGATATTTACATTACAGTCCATCACAGATGTTACATCCAGTATGATTTATGACAAAGATTCACCATCTGACAGCCCATAAAATACACATATACTTTACATAAACAGCAATTCATTAGAAATTAAGTTCTCAGTCTGATTATTCATATAAAGATTACAAGCCAAGATTTAAAACACTGAGATTTTACATTCTTTAAAACACCTTTGGTAGGGTGACCATACGTGCCATTTTCCCAGGACGCGTCCTGGCCAGGATTTCTATATTGCCTAAAATATCTAGGTTTTGGCTTTGTTTGCGTGTGCAGACCGATCGGTGTATGACATCAAAATACCATACAGACGGTTCCTTATGCTTTCAAAAAGCTCTCGAGGTATTTTGATGTCATACACCGATCGGTCTGCACACGCAAACAAAGCCAAAACCTAGATATTTTAGGCAATATAGAAATCCTGTCCTGGGAAAATGGCACGTATGGTCACCCTACCTTTGGCAATATTCAAAAGAGCTTGTCTACTAAATGAACAGGGGGATTTTGTATTTTTGGTTGTATTTCTTTGTATTTGAAACTGCTATTGTTGTGCTGTCTTGGCCATTTGGTTGTGAAAATGTGAGGACATTTTCAGTTAAGTTACTTTTGACATGGCAATCACCTTAGCTGACCAACCGAATCAACTATTTCACTGATAATTCATCTGTTGTTTCTGTATTTTTTAATATATATATATGCTAACATTTACACAGAGCTAAATCAACAAAGAAAACGCATTTTATGGCCTAAATATTGTTTATTTGTTTTACAACCCTACATCAGCTGAATGGAAGCTTGCTTTGACCGAAGAAGAAGAAAAAAAAAAAAAAAGACTTTTGAAAACAGACATAAAAAGGTCTTGAAAAAGGTCCCGGATTTGTGCGCTTTCTTATAGGCTGCATAGAACCGAGGTGACCGCGCGTGCTGGAACACGGCCTCGCGCAGCCTTTGCTCGCCAGTGAGTGCGCACTTTCTCAGTTCCGCAAGCTGGATTATAGCCTGTCTGTCAAAGTTAATATTTGGTTAACTGTGTGAGGAAGGTTCTTTTATTTATGTTTGTATATATTTATTTATGCTTAATTTAATGGGCGTTTGTACATAGGAATAGACTGGGTCGTCTATCTGTGACTGTCTCTGTGCGTGGGTGGACGCTTGTTTTAGATAGCATCTTGTATTTTTTGTTTCATAGATACGGTGTTATGTGGTGAAGGCTAGAAGTTGGTTCTTGTCTGGTGATTTTCATTTACCTCGAAATAAGAATAAAGCGTGTGTTTTATTGTAGTTGTTGCCGTGTCATATTAACGTGGTATACGCACGAAACATTTCAAAAAGCAGTTTTGATCTAAAACGTGCCTAAACTCCGAATACCTACATTTTAATGATCAGATAACTAAAATGTTTACGTAAGCATATACCATTAGTCCATGTAATTATTTCATTTGCATTAAAAGTTCATTTTTTTAGACAGGCAAGAAGTCAGGCAACACCCCAGGCGGCATCTTACAGGCTATATACCATTGGAATTGCTAAAGATATTTTACTTCAGGAAAAAAAGACAATAGTAGCCTAATATCATTAGTTTTTGAATAATCAATAATAATTACTGGCTTTAGAAAATAAATGTAATCATAAACGCCAAAATACACGTTTTTACCCTAAATAAAATGAAATTTTTCTTTATAAAGAAAGATACGACTATCTTGTTCCTTTGATAGCCGATTTCTTTTGCTAACATTGTTAATCCAGCTGTAACAGAACCAAGAGAGGCAATAAATAATATGAAAAATTAATCAATTGCAGTCAAATGGTGTTAGTAGGCTATTAAAAATATTTTACAACAATATAGACTTATAGACCAGCAAGGCATTAAAGCGTCGTTTATTAGCATCAAGGACTAGCTTAAGATTCAAGCTAATGCAACAATCTGTCATTGAAAGACCGATATGTATCTAACATTGTTCTGAATATTATCAGTGTTATAAGCATCTCGTAATGTTTGCATGACTTACGATGCAATCAGCAGAACGGAAATCAACAAAACTCGGAAATGAAAAATGGAAATGAGAATTGTGATTCCGCATCTTCCTGTCTCGTTTTAAGGCAAGCAAAGAATGCCCAAATTTATCGAAAACAATCCCTTGAAGGCGTGTGTTCGCGGTCGCGGCAGTAAAGTGAACTCATATCCCGGCCGCAGGTCAGGCCCCCGCGAGTCCCCGCGCGCATCAGCTCGCGCTGCTGTATTTAATGCGGAGGAGCGCGTGGCCCGCGGGTTCCGTCGCGTGACTCGTCATGCGTGAAGTACTGTGACCCAGGTGCAGCACCCGCATGTCCGCGAGCGACGTGGATCTCTACGAGATTCAGAGATTTCTCTTCAGCTGAAAAAAAAAAGACTAGCCTCGCTCTCACCCACGGGACCTGAAACAACACAACCCGAGATCTTTCATTCTTCCCTCGAACTCGGTTCTCATTACCGCTAAAAGAAAAAACCGATACAACAAAAACCCATAAGACCAAACCAATAATATCGCTGCTTTTATAGGCCTACTCGATAATTATTGACTGCTATTTTTTAAATCATAAAGATCTAAAATAAGTAGACAAGTTTTTATTTTTTTCCAAGCATAAATATAAAATGTGCACCAACAAAATGCCCTATAGGCCTACTGCTAATTAGCCCCAACTCCCTGATTTGATCAAACAACTGCAACCTTTTAGAGTTCTTTTATCCAAAGGTGTAAACATCCATGATTGGTTGGGAGGACACAGGCCTATGTAGCTAAAAGTTTAATTATCGGTCATTAAAAATCATTTATTTTCTCAATTTATGATCAAAAGAGGGAGGAGTAAAACACAAAGGCCTTAAAACAAGGACAAGATAAGCTAAAATATCAAATAAAAATCAGTTTGATCGGCTTCATGACTTTCAGCTGAGGTTTGAGGTGGAACAGTCGTCCAAAGACTAAAGGTTTAAACCCTTGTGGTGGACAGTCTCTTTTCCATCGTCTTATTTTTTCTCGGGGATGAGAGGACGGAGAGGAGCTTTGTCTGAGCGCAGGTCCCTCTGTTCGCTGTCACTCAATGGACTGTAAAAATGGTTTATCCAGACACGCGCCAGGCGCGCGTAATTCCTGCCCGAGGCGGGATGACCGCAGGCAGCGCGAGCCTAACTAAGCAACCTGGATATTTCATTATTCATTAATTTAGTGTTTAACAAATCCCGCTCATTATCGCGGGAGCGGCTGGCAGGATCTGCAGTTGGTGTCAGGCGTGGAGAATTGGCCCATTTGATCCTGAGCTGTTTTTTCTCTTTCTCTCTCTCTCTCTCTGTATTATTATTATAGGCTATTCAACATCCCGAAACAGCTCGAGATCGTCATGAATAATAAGCAGCGCGCGAGCTTGTCAAAGCCCGTTGAGCGTGACACAGCCCGTGGAAAAATCGAGGCGATTTTAATATAACCCCCTCACTTCAAGTCACTATTTGGAAAAGACAAAACAACACGCTGATAAACAAACGGAAATATGCGATTACTACGGCAATGACACGCGTCCGCAGTGGACGAAAGGACATCAAAAGTGTCTCATCAGACAGTTTAAAGGTTGTGTAAGCGATTATTTTGCTACCTGACCGATAGCACCGAAATATCACACCTACCTGTGCGACAGCCCTAGGCTCTGTAAACGACAGAAACTCGGCCTTTTTATAGCCAATCATAAACGCGCTGTCTGTCAATCATTTTGTTCTGATCATCAAACAGTTCATGGTTTTGCAAGCGTTCTTGTAATGAACACTTGTTCTTGTGATCGTACGTTAGTGCTTATTATTAAAATAACCAAAATACAATTTAATATTAATTTATTTAAATTTAAATGTTCATAAAATATCAAATAAACTTAACTACAAATTAGGTATTTATAAAATTGTTTACAAAATGTCAAAGAATCACACTAAATAATGCCACTAAATAACAGTCCCTAAGAAATGGTTGTAAACATACTTCATTTGCGTGCACTTAATAATATCCATAACAATTAAACAGACATCATTTTTTCTCTCCTTGCCAGCACTTTTCTGCTCTAGATTTTGCACTGAAAGTTTTTTTTTTTAACTATTGCAGTGGCTCCTGTATGATAAATTGCTTGTGAGTTTCCTCATTTGTAAGTCGCTTTGGATAACAGCATCTACTAAATGATTAAATGTAAATGCAGGCCTGTTACATGGTTAATCATTGTCATCTTTCATTAACTGAGCATGCTGTCGTTACTGGTGGTAGCGCACAGTCTCTTTATGCATAACTTCAGTTCTGTTTAATGCTTCATTGAATCAAAACACCTGCCGTGACCTCCTCATTCACCTCGGCTCTGCACTGGAGCTCTTCCTTCCACACTGAGGTTCACTGAGAGTTTCAAAACAAAGCACATGAACATACTGAGGTGATCACTCCAGGTAATGTATTTGATTTAAGATTCTTCAAGGGTTACTTGCCTTTGCTTTTCTTTGTTTTGCATTGAAGTTTGTCTGCAAGCAGAAAGAGAGAACAAGCTATAAATGTACAAGATTTCAGCTCCTCTCCAGGTAGCAAACACTCATAAATACACACACGGTATAATGCCTACCAAGGCAGGACTGGTTTTATTTGATGTGTGTTTGTGGTTTTGGCTCATTGGGTTTGTGTGAGTAAATGATTGATTATGTTTGGCTTTGATGTTTCCTCTAACACACACACACACACACACAAACACAGGTTTACATTTGTGAAAAGTGGGGACATCCCATAGGCGTAATGGATTTTATACTGTACAGACCGTATATTCTATTGCCCTACACCAACCCTACCCCTTACAGGAGACTTTGTGCTATTTCAGATTTTCAATACACTCCATTCTGTGTGATTTATAAGCGTTTTGAAAAGTGGGGACATGGGGTAATGTCCTGAAAAGTCACCTTCTCCTTGTAATACCTATGTCATTCCTTTGTCATTATACAAATTTATGTCCTCATTTGTCACAAAAACGTGTACACACACACACACACACATACACACAAGCAAGCTTACAATCTTTTTCACCTCGAACTTGCTCTGCTCTTTCTTTCACTTGTCATCCCATTCAGCATCTCAACTGAAAAATATACACACAGTCAACAAATGTTCCTCTCTTTATTGTTATAACTTTGTGGATTTATTAGAAAAA